TTCCCTGCTGTTCCTCTGCTCAGCTGGACTTTCTCCTGGACAGTACTTCCAGGTTCAGGCTTCCCCTGAATACCTTCCCCTGAAGTAAAGGCAAACACCTTTAACATAATGTCGGCAACACCCTCTCTGCCTCTTGTCCTTTGTAGGATTCTGCTCCTCCACCTCTGAGCGGCCACGGGTGACGATGTGGAGAAGCATCCTTTGCCTTATTCTATTCTTTTTTTAACAGCAAATTCTAATAGAGAGCTCTCAGGAATTCTCTCTCGACTCTACTCCTTCTCAGCAGCAGATGGCAATAGAGAGTTCCCCAACCAATCTGCCTGGCAACAAGCGACGCAGCAGAGTTAGTTTTGTTTTGCTTTTCTGATTGTTCGGAAACCGTTCTTGCTCCTCCCTCTCTTCCATTCCCCCAACCTTCCTGGTTTAGCAGCTAGGTCCTCTCTTCGAAGGACCCCACCTCAGCGTAAGGTTGGTAATCAAATGCTCAACTTCTATCTGGGATCATGATATTACTTTCATCCCACGTGATGATCCAAGGATTTAATGACCATCTCTATGCTGATGCTTCTCAAATCCACCTTTCTGCCCCAGCCTCTCTGCTGACCTCCGGTCTTGAATCTCCAACTGCTTTTCAGACACTTCAAACTGCATTTCCAGTAGACATCTTAAACTTGATATGTCCAAAACAGAACTCAGGATCTTTTCCCCTAAACCCTACCCCACTCCTTCACCTTCCCTATTACTGTCAAGAGCAACACCATTGTCCTCCCAGTCCTTCAGGCATGACGTAGGAGACATCTGACTCCTCCCTACCTCTCACACTCCATGTCCTCATTACCTCTCCAGGACTAAATCCAAACCCCTCTGCTTGGCATTCAAAGCCCTTCACAACCCAGCTGCCTCCTACCTTCCCAGTCTTCTCATACATCATTCCCTTCCATGTTCTCTTTGATCCAGAGACTCTGGCCTCTAGGCTATCCCACTAACAAGAGCCTCCATCTCTCTGCTCTGGGCATACCCTCTTGGCTGCCCCCCCATCCCTGGCATGCTTTCTTTCCTCATCTCCACCACCTGGCTTCCCAGCCTTTAAGTCCCAGTTAAAATCCCATCTTCTACAGCCAGCTCTCCCCAACCCATCTTAATTTCAGTGCCTTCCCTCTGTTGATTGTTTCCTATTTATCCTGTATATAGCTGACTTTGTAGATATCTGTTGTCTCCCCCGTTAGGTTGTAAGCTCCTTGAGGGCAGGGACTGTCTTTTGCCTCTTTTTATATCCCCCGATCTTAGCACAGTACCTGGCACATAGTAGCCACCTAACAAATGTCTATTGAATGATTGATAAAACGGTTTGTGGTCCCATTTCCCCAGTCATTAACCTAAAAGTTCTCCAATTCTTCACCTACCGAAAAACTAAAGCAGACAGTGTGCTTCTTTTGATCCAATATTCTAAAGCATCTTGTATGCAAATGACCAATTGCTGTCTCAGAACTTTAAGTCAGACAACTCAGTAATTGCTTCTTTCAGAACTCCAAGGCAGACATATATCAAGAAACATCCCTTACATACAAAAAAAAAAAAAGTTTTCCTCAAGCTATGCCAGTAAGGTTTTGATATTCTGGACCCCAGTCATCTCAGTGACTGGATGGGATGGGAGGGGGTTAGGTGATGAAAAGGATCAGCTTTCATTTTTCAGTTTAGGATGCTTTAAAAATCTGTTATCTATAGAAACTGGGATGCTACCAAAAATAAATAAACAAGTTTTGTTTGGGCTGAGATGAACATTACCGCAACTTTGAAACTATGATCACAATTTTGAAACAGGTTTACCCAGCACTTTAGGGGTGTCAGGCCAAATAGCCATTAAATGGCTTTTTCTCATTGTCAAGATAAATAGTTTTGAGGGAGAACAATAGAGTTAGTAGGTCAGTCATGGGCAGCTAGGTGGCACATTGGATAGAGCCCCGGGCCTGGAGTCAGGAAGACTGATCTTCCTGAGTTCAAATCTGACCTCAGACACTCACTAGCTGTGTGACCCTGGGCAAGTCACTTAGCCCTGTTTGCCTCAGTTTCCTCATCTGTAAAATGAGCCGGAGAAGGAAATGGCCGAAACCACTCCAGTATCTCTGCCAAGAAAACCCCAAATGGGGCCATGGAGAGTCGGACACGACTGAACAACAACTGTACTAACTGGCTGGGGAGACAAAGATGAAAAAGGTGCTATTATCTTAATGGTGGAGACTAGTAATTTACTAGGTACATATAGATATGCACAGGTAGTTGGGAGATAATCTCAGGGGGAAAGGCACTAGCACCTGGACAGGAGGGGAATGTCGGGGGGGGGCAGGGGGAGAAGAGAGATCAAGAAAAGCCTCCAGCAGAAGGTGGAGTTTGAGCTCGAAGAAAACAGACCCTTTATTCAAGAGTTTTACAGCTTTCTTTTCCGATTATTCCTGTGCATTCATCTACACGGTGGAGGGGCAGCCAGGGCTCTGTCACTGGGAGGAAAAAGCTCCGATGTATCAATGTAACACACATAGTATATTTGCTCACAAGCAACATTCATCTGTTTACATTCACAGAGGATGGGTGGCATCTATTGCTACAAAAATCCCAAATGGCAAAATGTCTATTTACATGTGGCCACGGCCACAGAATAATAGACACCAAATATCATGGAAACTGTTTCAGCAATTACATTTTTATCAGCCTCCAAACACACTCCAGGATTTATGGGACTGTAGAAAAGGCATCTTTCCTTTTCGGACCTCATTTTCTCTATTGTAAAACGAGGTATCGCACTGGATCGATTTTATAGTTCCCTATCCTGTGACTCCCAGCTTCACATCAAGTGCCTCAACACTAAGGCTCCTGGGCACTACAGACCCCACAATCCGATACACGCAGGGGTGTGCTGGGGGCAGCTCATGCCCACTCCAAGAGCTGACTGTTATTTTTTCAGCATGAATATTCACACCTTGAAAATCAGAAAATGCTACAAAGCAGGGCTTGATTGGGTTTTGTTGATTGTTCAGACGTAAGAAAGTGATGGACAAAATGTTAATAGTGAAGATTAGATGTAAATGTATGTTTGGAGTACATTTTTTCAGTCAGTTGTTAAATATTTATCACCACCCACCCCTGTCTAGAGGCCAACTCTGACTCCCACAATGTTCCATTATTATTATTTTGTCAATATCTACGTCAGATGGCCAGAAGTTATGCTTCCAATCATTTCCTTTGGCCCAAGACTACCGCTCCCACAATATACCTTGTGTCAGCCGCAGCTACCTCCCTGCACCTGTGGAGCCCTGGGAAACCAGAGAAGGCCTCTCCAGGGGCAGCTATGTGGCACAGTGGATAGAGTGCTAGACCTGGAGTAGGGAAGACTCATCTTCATGAGTTCAATTCTGGTCTCCCAGCTGTGTGATCCTGGGTAAGTCACAGCCCTGTTTGCCTTAGTTTCCTCTACTGTAAAAAGAGCTGGAGAAGGAAATGGCCAACCACTCCAGTATCTCTGCCAAGAAAACCCCAAAATGGGGTCATGAAAAGTCTGACATGACTGAAGAACAGCAAAGGCCTCTCTTGCCCTTGCCCATTTATAAGATGGAAGAGCTGGACAATAATATCTGTGCTTTACAGTTTGAAATCTTATGACTACCGCTCTTCCAAGAGAGGGGCTGAGGTTCCTTCCACCTGCACTCAATACTAATAGCTAGCACTTGTAGATGCTTTAGGGTTTACAAATGTTATCCCATTTTATTCTTACAACTACCCTTCCAAACACCATACCTAGGAGGTGGGTGCTATTATCATCCCCATTTTACAGATGAGAACACTGAGGCAGAGTGGCTCAGGGTCTGACTTTGGATTTGAATTCAGGTCTGCCTAGTAGAATGCCAGTCTTGAAGCCCATTGGGAAGAAGGAGGAGGAGGAGGAGAAGTAGAAGGAGGAGGAGGAGGAGGAGGAGGAGGAGATCTCTAGTCTCTTTCCTTCTTTGTGTTCTCTTCAAGCCTTGGGTCTCTGGGCTTTGTGGTAGCCTTGGGCACTTCTGGCTTCTATCTTTGATGCTAAACCCCACTTCAGGATGAAGGAAAAGACCGGGAAGAAGCCAACATGAGAAGAGAGGGCAGTCTCCACTGTGGCCTTATTTATCTTCAGCTTGCTACAGGAGAGACTTTGGGGAGTTTCCCTTGGTGAGATCTAGGGTGCTCTCTCCTTTGATCTGAGTCGCCTCTTGCTCCCAAGAGGAGAGCTCCTTCACTCTGTATTGTCTGGTGCGTATTCTCCGATTTGTTTTTCTATGCACTTGGATAAATGGGTCTCTTTGCTACTTCCAATGTGCGTTCATTGTGGACCTGGCATTGGGAAAGGCATCAAGCCTTGGATAGGAAGCTTGGGGCTGCGCTCTCCCCCAATAAGGAGATAGCGATCAGATGTTGGATTGACCCTGACAATCACATTCCCTAGATTACAACACTGAAGGAGCAGGTAGAAGTAAGGCCAGCCTGGTACCCTCTCTAAGAGCAGAGGGGTCAGCCTCTGGCCCCATCCATTTCACTCCTGCGCTCCCCCACCCCCTCCGCCGCCCCCGGCAGGAGTGAAAGGAGGGAAGAAGCTAGAGATAGCTATTCTGTCTCCCTTAGGGCCACCCCCAGACACTCCTAGGCTACATGTGGGGGACACCCTCGCAACACGGGGGCTTGGAATCAGATACGTCAGCCGGCCAGTTCTCACAACCGCCTACCACTACCCTCCTCCATGCCTCTCCATGAACTGCAGCACCCCACACCTGGAGAAGACAACAGCTCTCCAACTACCCTAGTCCTGAGGACTACAACTCCCACAATGCCATCTGCCTGAGGGATACAACCCGCATCCCTATCCCGAATCAGAAGACTACAGTAGCTCCCACAATCCCAATGACCCAAGAGCACATACATTTCTTGGTCCTAAGGACTACAACTCCCACAATGCCCTGCTCCCTAAGACTCAGGGACTTCAGCGGTCCTGTTATCCTGGATCGACTCCCCAAAGTCCTACCTGAGGGATCAGAGAGAGTAACAGAGAACCTACCATTCCCTCGCGCTTCGGGACTACATCCCCCATGATGCCTCGCTCCAACGCTTCTTCGTTCCCCTTGTAATCGACTTTCTAGATCAGCCAAGACCCGGAGCGGAAGAGCTCGGCTCCTCGGAACTACAGCCCCCACCATACCCCCTCGGACTACGACTCCCAGCAGCCTCCTCGTCACGACAAACGATCCCGCAGCCACATAGGATCCGGAGGCGGAGGCGGCAGCAGCAGCGGAAGGTGAGCAAGGTGGGGTCGGGGAGCGGGAGGATGGGGAGGGGGGCGCGCCCCGGGGGACCTCCCGGAGGCGGCGACGAGGCTCTCACTGCTGTCCCCCCGCAGCCGTAGGAGCAGCTGGAGACGATGGCGGCGGGAAGCGATTTGTTTAACCCCGGGACAGAGGTGGAGGATCCAGGGATCAGTGCCAAGTGAGCAGGGACCCAGGGGTCTGGACCTCTATCCCCCGGGACCCAGGAGTCCGGATCCCCATCCTACAGGAACCAGGAATTCAGATGTCCAGTCCCGTCCATCACCACCCCAGCCTTGCATGAGTCCGGACCCCCATCCCTACCCCCTTGCCCAGAAGTCCGGACCCCTATCCCATCCCCTGGCACCCAAGAGTTCAGATAGCTGGTCCCTTCCTAACCCTTCAGGAGTCCAGGCCCCTCACTTCTACCCCTTTACCCGGGAGTCTGGACCCCCATCCTCCAGGAACCAGGAATTCTGATATCCAGTCCCGTCCATCCCTCAACCTTGAATGAGTCAGGACCCCCATCCCATCCCTCAGTATCTAGATACCCAGTCTCTCCCCACCTCTGCAAGAGGCCAGATCCCCCCACTCCTACCCCTTTACCCAGTAGTCCAGACCCCTATCCCATGCTCGGGGACCCAGGAATTCAGATGCCCAGTTCCACGCCCCCTCCCCCCAACCCTACGAGTCCAGCCCACTCCCTAGGACCCAGGAAGGCCATATCACCAGTCCTGTCAAACCCCACCCCCAAGACCTAGGAATTTGGACCCCCATTTCATCTCCTAGGCACCTCGCCGTCCCAGGATCCCGGTATCCTGACCTCCCAAACTCTCCTTTCTGGGACCTTGGCGTCCAGACCCCCAGCTACCACCATCCTCTAGCCCTACCTCCTTCTCAGGTGTCCAGATCCCCAGCTGTGGGGCCAGCGATTCCATCTTCCTGACCCACGCTCCCACCCTCTGGGGAATCCTAGCGTCTTGAACCACCGACTCCTATCACAGACCCAGCTGTCTTGATTCCTCCCGCCCTGCCCCTGGCGGGGGGACTCGGGCATCCTGAGCCCTCAGCTCGGCCCTATTCAGGCATACCTCTCCCATAGTCCCCTCGAGGTCTGCCTCGGGACGCAGATGTCTTGGTCCCCCACTTCCTGCTGCACTCTGGGACTTATCTCCATCCCCTACCGAGCCACTTTCCTTGTCTGCCCCAGGACGCTGCTGCCCAAGCTGCTGCCGGCGGGCTCAGCTGGCCGGGAGTGGCTGGAGCAGCGCCGGGCCACCATCCGGCCCTGGGGCCCCTTCCTGGACCAGCGGCGCTTCTCGCGGCCTCGAAACCTGGGCGAGCTGTGCCAGCGCCTGGTGCGCAACGTGGAGCATTACCAAAGCAATTACGTCTTCGTCTTCCTGGGCCTCATCCTGTACTGCGTGTGAGCCCCTCTCCGCCCCTCCCCCAGATCTTGCCCCCAGGGCGCAAACCCCTGCGAGCCCCTGGCCCCTAGGGCACAGCCTCGGTGCAAGCCCCGCCCCCAGGGCGCAGACTTAATGAGAAGCCTGCCCCTCCCCAATTTGGCTGGAAGTCCCCCCCCCCCACGGTGCCCACTCTATAAGCTCCGCCCTCTGGTCAGGGTCCCAGCGTGGGGCCCGAGCCCTCCGCCAGGCGGCCATTCTCTTCTCTCTGGCCAGCCTCTGAGCCTTCGCCCTTTGCCTTCGCAGGGTCACGTCCCCCATGCTCCTGGTGGCCTTAGCGGTCTTCTTCGGAGCCTGTTACATCCTCTACCTGCGCGCTCTGCAGTCCAAGCTGGTCCTCTTCGGTGAGGCTGCCCCGCACCCCTCAGGGAGTGGGTGCCGGGTTTTGAACCCGGTCTCTGCCTCTCAACCACCTGTGGGACCGGCCACCCAGGGCCTCTGTGGATAAAATAAGGCCCCCAACGCGGGCCTCCCTTTGCTAAATCTAAGACCCACTGCCCCAGGTGTTCCAGCTGGCCACATCTAGACAGCCAGGTGGCACCAATGGCCTGGCTTCCCTCCCAGCTTCCGGCATCACAGGAGGCCTGAAAGGGCCCTTAGGGACCATCTAGGCCCGGAGCCCTTTACAGGCCTCTTCTGAGCTGCCGGGAGCACTTAAAGGGCCAGCGTTCTGCTTTTCACAGAGAGGTTTTAGAGAACAGTCTGTGCCCAGCCTCATGTCAGCTAGGAGTGCTAGATGTGGAGTCAGGAAGACCCGAGTTCAAATTTTGATTCAGACACTTAGTAACCCGAGGCAAGTCTTCTGTAAAATGAGGGTCACTTAGGCCCAGTGCTTTCTTTGGCTCTGGTATTTTCCTCTCGCTCAGTCTACCTCCCCAGAGCAAGGCTGGGGGGAAAGAGCCACATCTTCTATCTGAGCACAGGTTTAGAGCCAGAAGGGGCCCGGGAGGCTTTGAAGCCCATTCCCCTCACTGACAGATCTGATCTCAGACGGACCTCGGGGTGGCCCTGGGAGGGCTTCCTGGAAGGAGGTGCCATGTGACCTTGACCTTGAAGGACAGAGAGCTCTCTGGACTGTCCGGGAGGGCATCTGCAGGAGGGATTATTGCTAATGGACCTTGAGGAAACTCCTAGCAGGAAAGAGATCCCCTTGGGGGAGGGGAGCCAGTGAGGAGTTCCTGGAATTGGGCCTTGAAATATGAAGGGAGAGAAATAATTAAATAAATGAAAAGAAATGCAAGGAAGTGCTTGGAGGAAGGAGTTCTCTAGGGGCCCTGGGGATGGCCTACACAAGGGAGGTGGGCAGCAGTGTAGGAGAAGGGGCCTCTGCCTCTCAGGAGGCCTTCCACAGAAGCTTGGCAAGCACTGGTGAGGACTGTTACAGCAGGAATTCCTTTTTGTGTATGGACTGGAGTGTGGCCATCAGTCTCCTGGTCTGTGATTCTGGTGGGGGTAGGCTGGGCCGGCAGAATCTTGGGAGACCCTGAAAGATGGCCCATCCTGTGTCCCCTCTCCCTGTCTCCACCAGGCCGAGAGGTGAGCCCAGCACATCAGTATGCCTTGGCAGGGGGCATCTCTTTCCCGTTCTTCTGGCTGGCTGGAGCTGGCTCAGCTGTCTTCTGGGTCTTGGGTAAGTATGTTGGGGGGGGAGGGGTGTATGTGTGTGAGGAGAGTGGAATTCTAGCCCCTGACCTTCCTGTCCTCCCCTCTGGCTCCAGGAGCCACCTTGGTGGTCATCGGATCCCATGCAGCCTTCCACCAGCTGGAGGCAGCCACCGATGGGGAGGAGCTGCAGATGGAGCCTGTGTGAAGGCCCCCCACCCAGAGCAGGGAGGCTAGAACCATGGAGACCGAGCCTGCTGGCCCCCCTCCTCTGCCCAACCTTGCCAGCCTTGCCTGAGAGCTCCCCTCAGGAGAGCAGAGGGAGAGTTTGGGAGCCTGGCAGAGGGAAAGCATAGCCTGAGAATAAAGTCCAGCCCTCTACATAGGAATGTGGCTTTGGCCAACACCCCACATTGTGTGCCCATCAATAGCATGATATTTCTGATGACCCCTGCCATGGCGGAGTGGTGCTAACTCCTAGGGACTTCTGAGAGCCCTCTGAGGGTCTTTGTATGGGGCTGGGGTGCAGGGAATGGGAATGCTGGCTGAGCCTTTGGGAAGCCATGAGGGGATGACTCTGAGGGCTAGAGAGACAAGAGTCCTCACAGATAATGTAGCCCAGCCCCTTGTTGTGCAGAAGAAACGGGTCCAGAGCAGGGCAAAGACCTGCTCAAGGCCACCTGGAACAGAATCCCTGCCCTCTGATTGCAAATCCTCAGACCACACTGCCTTAGGGAATTGCTTGAGAGACTTGGGAGATGGGGAACCGCCTTTATTTCAGATGATGGAGCTATTGTACTGGTGTGCCATCTGGCAGAGGCCACAGACTGGACAGCAGCACATGACCAGCCAGTCCTCAGCTATGGATCCCTGGAGGAGAGGAAATGAATGGGAGACCTCTTAGGAGTGGGAGAGAGAGATGATGAGGGGCCCCTGAGGATAGGATGCATCTGGGAGGAAAGAAGATGGAGAGCGAGAAGGGAAGAGCTGGGATGGGGACAGGAGGGCTGTGGAGACGACGTGGGTTTAGATGCAGAGGAAGAGCTCTAAGAAGCAGAGATGGAGGGTCGATGGGGGTGAGGGATGTTAATGGAGATTCACACTGGATGGCTATGGATGATGGGGGGCTCCTGCTCAGAGGACAGGTGAGAAGAATTGTGGAGGTGTTGATGGAGCGAGGGATGGGGGTCCCATGGGAGATGAGTTTGGACAGCCATGGAAAAGGCCCATGGGAACAGATGTAGATTTGGATGAGTGGATTTATAGGAGAGTAGCTAGAGATACAGAGGGGAGTCCTACAGGGACAGGAGCAGCGTGAAGGAGGAGCACAAGAGAACTGGAAATCTGGATGGAAGGCCAGTGGAGAATGAAGATTTGCATGGTAGGCCCTTGGGATTGAGTAGCTCGTGAGGGATAAGGATGGGAAGGCAGTGAGGGATTGTATTAGGGACTTGATTGGGTAAGGACCCATGGAAAATGGGAAGGCCACAAGGGGCAGCTAGGTGGCACAGTGCATAGAGCACCGGCCTTGAAGTCAGGAGGACCTGAGTTCCAATCTGGCCTCAGACCAAACACTTGACACTTACTAGCTGTGTGATCCTGGGCAAGTCTAATTGCCTAAAAGCAAAGAAAAAAAGAAAGAAAATGGGAAGGCCACAGAGGCTGGGGTCCTCCAAGACCAAAGGTAGGGCCCCATGGGGATAGAGTGGCAGACATAGGGAAAGGGATTGGCTGACCTGGATACCTTGAGTAACCCTCAGGGAAGTCCTCATAGCCACCAGGGCCCCTGGCAGGTAGGGGAGACAGCAACATTCTCCCTGGGTGTCAGCCACAAAACAGGCCAGCAGGCAGGGGAGCAGTGCCCCATTCACACCTAGGGGGCAGCCTTAATCAGCCTCCCTCCACCTCTTGAACATCCTTCCCTCCCTCCCCCTAAGTGCCCTCAGCTCACACAAGTTTGTGCACCTGAAGTCAAACAGGGCTCTGTTCCAGTCATTCGTAGCCGGGAGATAGGGGCTTCAAGGGAGGGATCTGTAGAAGACATTCAAGGCCTGGGAAGACACAGGCGGTGGCTGCTTACCCACGATCGGTTCCTGGAAGGAGTAGAGCTCCAAGTGACAAGGCTTTGGGGTGTAGCTGGTATCCAGGGGGTGCAGATCCCTGGAGGAGCCTGCCTCCTGGGAGAAGAAACTGAAGTGGCTCATCTTGTAAAAACTCATTACTGAGGAAGGAGAAAGCTCTCCCATTGGTGTGAATTCCTCTGGTCACCTGTGGTCTAGGCCAGGGATAGAGAAAGGGAAGGTTAAGGACCTCCCTCCCCCCCCCCGCCCAGGCTGCTCCCCTACCCCCATTCTTCTTGGGGTTCCACCTGGGATGAGCACAGGCAAGTGCCACACAGTCCCGTGTGGAGGCAGCCACTCTCCACCACAAGCAGGGACATACTAGCACCCCTATACACCCCCAGAGATCCAACTGGGTCTGAAAAGATTAGACCCAAAGAAAGGAGGTTGACTGGTCCTCTGATTCTGCCCTCCTTGTCTGGGAAGCTTGGGGAGGGATCCACCTGGCAGTCCTCCTGTCCTTAGCTCAGTGCCAGTCAGAATACAAATATAACCTCCCATCTCCTTGTCATGCTAACGTTCCTGAAGTACTTTCAGCCCAATCCCACTCAGAGGTAGGGAATCTAGATGTTCTTGTTCCAATGTTATAGACGAAGAAGCAGGGCTGGAGAGGTTCGTGACTTGCCCAGGGTCACAGAAGGCATGTATAGCATGAGGTCATGGATTTGAACTCAGGTCTCTCCAACCCTATTTCTGCCACCCTGGGCCCTTCCTGAAACCTTGTCTCCAATCCCCTTCTTTGCCCTCCCCTACCCCAGCCCTGCAGCCCTGCTTCCCCCAGCCCTATTCCCAGTCCCCTCCTTTGCCCCCCCCCCAGCCCTGCAGCCCTGCTTCCCCCAGCCCTCCTGTGCTGGTGACCCAGCCTTTTCCCCTACTTCTCCTTTCCATTCATGATCTCATGGCATCTAGAGCTAGAAGGGTGGTTGGAAATAATTGAGCAACCCAACCCCTCCCTGCTCCCCATTTTAGAGAGGAGGAAACAGGCCCAGAAAGAGGTAAGTCTCTCTCCTTAGATCACACTGGTAGGAAGTAGTAGAATACCAAATTTGAACCCAGGTCTTCTGACTACAGTGTTCTTTCCACCATCTTTGAGCCCCTTCCCAGTCTTTGTCCCCTCCATCTCAGGCACAGGAAGTGGTCCAGAGCAGTAGTTCTGGAATCGGAGGACCTGGGTTCAGATCCTGTCTTTGATGCTTACTCCTTGTGTGACCTTGAACAAATCATTTCATCTGCCTGGGCCTCAGTTTCCAAGTCAGTAAATTGAGGGGGTTGGATTGGCTGGCCTCTGAGATCCCCTTTCAGCTCCAGAACCAAGATCCTCTGATGCTCCACCTGTCAATGCCTAGCTCCGGTGCCCCCCCCCCTTCCCTCTTGGACTGCTTAGTGTAGGGGCCAAACCTGTATGTTACAGGAGGGAGAAGGCAGGAGTTGGCCTGGCCAGGACCAGAGGACAGGGGGCCTATGGAGGGTCCTAGTCCTTTTGCTTTGAGGAGTGGGTGAGAAAGGAAAGGGGACATCTCAAGATGGTCCCTATGGGGCCTTTTCTGGGCCCAAGCCCACCAGTCCCCTTGCCCCTCCCTCCACCCTGCACCCCAGTCCTGCAGCCTCTGCTTTCTGCGCCCACGCGTTCTCTCACCACTAGGGGGCCCTTAAATTTTGTTCTCTGCAAGGGTGGAGTTGCGGAAGAGGGCTTGAGCAGGTGGCTGGAGGGGTGAGGGGTCCGACGCCTGGGTCCTTGAGGGAGCCGAGGCGGAGGAACAGTAGCACCACCGAGCGTCTAGGTCTCCCAGGGTCCCGACTCCGGATATAGAATCATAAACTTAGAGAACCTTAGAATGTTAGAACAGGAACGCTCCTTAGAGACCAGCTCCTCCCCACTTTAAAGGGAGAAACTGAGGCGCAGAGAGAGGCTTGCCCAAGGTCCCAGTGAGTGTAAAGAGAAAGCTCGAATCTTGAGGGAAAGCCAGGAGCTAGAGTACAGCACTTGGGGCAGAGAACAGGAGGAGGGGATGGCAGGACGCCTGATTCCTTAAGGGGCGTGGGGACTGGGGTTCAGGATGCCCGGGTTCTGGAGGGGTTAGAGCTGAGAGATCACGATACTGGGGGATCTCAGAGGGATGGGGGTTCAATATCTCTGAGCAGTGGGCTCTGGGAGCAATGGGATCATAAGCCGGGGGTGGGGGTGGGGGCTAGAGTTCGGGGTGCCTGGGTCACAGGGACGACTGGGCCCTTGAAAGTCGCTGGGGGAACTACGCAGACGCCGGGGTCTGAGAGGCGGTGGTGGGAGGCTGGGGTTTAGAATGCTTGGGTCTCCGAGGGCCAAGAGCAGCAGCGAGAGGGGAAAAAAGCCGGGGTCTGGAAGCGCGGCGGTCTGGCCAGGCGGGGGGGGGGGGGGGGGGTGAGCCGAGTGGAAGTGACAGGAGAGGAAGAAAAATGGGCGAAGAAATGAGAGCGGACGCGCGGGCTGCGGCGAGTCCGGGAGAGGGGGCGAGAGTGGCGGCGGCTTGGACTCCCCGAACCCAGGCTCAACTCCCTAGGGACGCCCCAACCCCGAAGCTGCCCCCGCCCCCGCTTATTCCTCCCCGAGGACCCTCGGCTCTCTTTCTTGGCCTGTCCCACCCCTTGGCCCCTCTCCCCAGCCTCCTCACCACGCCTCCCTCAGTAGTCGCATCTACTCCTCCCCTTCCCACCCCACCGTCATTTTCTTCCTTCTCCACATTCCATTCGTCCCTGACGGTCTATCTCCGTCCCCTTGGGTTCTCTTCCTCCTCCACGTTCTGGTCCCCAACTTCTATTCCCCCTTCTTTCATGTTCTCTTCCTCCTTCCTCCCCTTGCCCTTCCATGTTCTCTAAGTTTACGTTCCCCAGTGTTCCCTTGGGTTCTCTTCTTCGCCTTCCTCTGCCCCCTCACAGACCTCTGTGCTCTGAGTGCTCCCCAGAGTTCTGTCCCTTTCCCCCTTCCTTTCATCCTTCCTGCACAATCTATCCCCCTTTCCTCTCCCTCCTCCCAGCGTTGCCCAAGTTCTAGCCTCACATCGGCTTTCTCTCCCTCTCAAGTTCTCCAGTCATCTCACCTCCTCCCCCCAACATATACATCCTCTACTGGACACTTGCGTTCCATTCCCCCCACCCCGCTTTCTGTTATCTACACACACACACACACACACACACACACACACACACACACACACACACACACTCATATTCTCTCCACTTCCCCAGATTCTGTGCCCCCCCCGCCAGCTCCTTTTCCATCCTCACCCCCACCCCCAGTTCTCTCCAGCTGAAGGCCCCGGGGGGCGGATTGGAGGAGGAAATGGGGCTCGCGCTGCGGGGGGAGCAAGGGGGAGGGGGAAGGGAGGGGGAGGGGCGGGGGCGGCGCCCAATGGAGTGGAAAGCAGGACAAATGAGCGGCGGCCCGCGCGGCCGACAGGCCCTCTCCATCTTCCCATTAGCGCCTAATGGCCCCCCCGCCGCCGCCTGATGAAGATTTATCGGCCCCGGGCCCGGCCCGGCCCCCCGCGTCCCCCGCCTCGGCCCGGCCTCAGCCCAGGCCCTGCCCCCGCCCTTGATGAAGTCATCACCCTGGTAGGGAGGGGAAGGATAGCCTCAGAGACAGGGAGACAGAATCAGAGATAGAAACTCAGTGAGACAGATTCAGAGGGACTGAGATGGAGGCCCCAGACTAAGAGAGAAAAATGAAAGCAGAGAGTGAGGCACCGGCTTGGAGAGACACTGACATTCACAGAGACAGTCTCAGAGACCTGGAGGCACAGAGATTTGGAGAGACTCAGAGAATCAAAGATAACAGAAGAGGGGAGGAGGGGAAGTGGGAAAGGGACAGTGCTGGATGCCCTGGACTCCTGTCCCTTGGAGATGGTGCTGGACACCAATGATCTCTGGTAGGTGGGAAGCTATCGTCCCCTCACCCATTTTACAGATGGAGTAACCGAGGCCCAGAGAGATGAACCTTGCTCAAGGTCACACAATGTGTCAGCAGCACAGATGGGCTTGGAATGGAAGTCTATGGATTGTCTCCTGCCCAGTGCTCAGTTCAACACATCAGGCAGGCTGTAGAACCTCCACGGGGGAGTCACCAGGCTCCTAGGAGGAAGAATAGAAGTGGTCCCTGTCACTGGAGTCCCCAGTGAGGTGGTGGGCCCTCCAAATGAATAGGGTCCAGGTCTTGGAGGTGGGATTGACCGGAGATCTGGAGCTGGAGGCTGCACAGCCACAAAGTTCCCTGGGGAAATCGGGAGGGAAGCTAAGTGGGGAAGCTAGTGTCTCAGAGGGGGAGAGAATCTGCTAGGACAATCGGGTCTAGAGACATAAAGGACTGCCTCCTTTTACAGATGAAGAAGCTTGTCCAGGCTTACACAGTAAATGGCAGAGGCAGGATTCAAACCCCAGGCCACTGACTCCAAATACCATGCTCTTTCTGTTATGCCAGTTTCCCCAAAGGCTCCTTGGCAGAGACAACTTGGATGTTGGGGGAGAGAGGCTGGGAACCTGAAAGGGAGAGGAAGGGACCGAGTGTTGGGTGTGGGGGGTCTGGGGGGAGGAGTGAGGAGGCCTTCCTGATTGATTCCTGTTTACCGCCTGTCCCCGCGGGCGGAAGAGCGAATCGGCACCATCCATCACGGCCCCGCCGCCTCCCTAATAAAAACATTTTATTCCTAAATGATCTCGAACTAATTAACTCAAAGTGTTAATTAAAGTTTGCACAGACGGCATTGTCATCCGAGGGGCTGAGGATCCATCTTCCCCCAGAGATGGAGATGGAGATTGAGATGGAGAGGAAGGCCCAGAATTAGGCAGGCTGAGACAGAGACATTCACAGTGCAGGAGACAGAGACGCTGGGAAAGATGAGGGTGTGAGGACAGGAATAGAGACACACAAGGATAGAACAGAGATGAAGCCAGCAGGGAGAGACAGACAGATACAGTGATGGACTCTCTGTGTAGATGGGGGGGGTGGGGAGGAGATTTGAACCCCTGCCCTTTGACTCCAAATTCAGGGCTCTTTCCACCTCTGTCCTACCCTGATTCTCTAAGCATGTGAGAGCATATACATGTAGGTACACCAATCACAGAGCTGGAAGAGATATCTGAGATCATCTGGGCCAGTCCCAAGGCCCAAAGAGGTTAACTGATTTGCTCAAAGTCACACAGGTAAGCATCAGTATCAGGACTGGAGGAAGCAGGGTCTGTGTGTATTCCTGAGCAAAAGGTTCATGTGCCTAGATGTTTATAGAGAAGTGTGTCAGCATGTATATACGGGTAGGTGTGTGCATTGGTGTATACACGTATTACTAGCCTATGTGTCTCTGTGATGGGGTATATTGTATACCCATGTACGTACTTCTTGTGTGAAGGCATACATGCATAATAATGTACATGGAAACATACCCATGTGTTGAGGTTTCTCCTGTGCATGCACACAGATAGACATGTGTATCGAGAGCATGTAAACATATATCTTAAGTGCATTTGTGCACTGCAGGTATCAAGTCTACATGTATGTGTGTATAAATATATATAAAACCTCTCTGGGCCTAGTTTCCTCCTCTGGGAAATAAGGGGATTGAACTAGATGGCCTTAGATGTCTCTTCCAGCTCTGTGACTGGTGTATATACAAGTATATGCTCTCACATGCTTAGAGAATCAGGGTAGGGGAGAGAGAGATAGAAATAAGTAGGTAGATAAATAGATATAGATATATCTGCGTGTATAGCAGGCATATGGAGGGGGAGTGTATCCATGACCTATGTATGTGAACACGTGGGGTTGTTTCTTTGCGCACATATGCTCTAAAGCATACATGTAATATATGTGTTCAGGCACATGCTTGTGTACTGCATCGCCTGTGTCCCTGCCTACAGGTTACATATGTGTGCATGTGTACATTATGTGAGTGCAGGAATTCCTCCTTTTCTGGCTCTATGGTCCCGACTCCTAGGTCCTTAAGGTATGTTTATTGAATTGACTATGTGAGGAGCTTATGACCGTAGTGAAGTCAGAAGACATGGACTCCATACCCTGATGACCTTGGGTGAGTCCTCTCCTTTCTCTTGGCCATGGTCTCTTCATCTGTAAATGCAGGGAGTTGGCCTCGAGGGTTCCTTCCAGTTGTGAAATGTCTCATGTTCTATATCCTAAGGTCTCATCCATCTGACAGGAAAAGATTCTCATAGATATCTACTCAACATGCATGTGAATGGGTGTGGCATGTGCACATGCACACATATGTATGCAGATGTGTGCTGAGCCTTCTCTATATATCATCAGTCAGTCAGCTGTGCACCTTACAAGCTCTTGGGTCCAGCCCTACTCTGGGGAGTGGGGGGTGGGGGAGGGGAGAGTTGCAAAGGAAGATTGGGGCATGGATTTTCCACTTTGCCTCCAGACAATTCTCAGTTTCCACCAGGCTGAATTGGGGGTGGGAAGGAAGGTACATAGCACCCCCCCATCTCACAAATGAGGAAGCATGTTGGGGTGGAGGAGGGCTTACCTAATGGCACAGAAGCAGTAAGTAGCAAAAGTGAGATCTGCACCTTGATTCTGAGACAGTGGTACGTGCTCAGGCTGGGGCTGTGTCACCTGGAGCCTGGGACTGGGGGGTATCGGGCAACAGGTTCTGGATCTAGATGAAGGCCACGCTCAAGGCAGGAACTGAGACAGAAGCAAGAGTCACAGTCTCAGCCAAGGTTGGGGTGGGGGCTGTGGTCAGAATGGGGACCATCCATGGGAAGGGCAGGGGCCGTGGCCAGGGTGGGGGCTGTGGTCAGGGCCAGGGGCGGCCAGGTCGGGGCGGCCCTGGTGTGAGCTCATATATCACGGGCTGACAGACTCAGAAAGTCCCGGAATTAAAACCTAAATCGAATATTGATCACCCGCTCGGGCCGCAGCCCCCCCCAGCCCACCCGGCTCGGGCTTCCCCCTCCTCTCCCCACTCAGCCTTGTCCAGCTCCTCTCCCTCCATTTCTCTGCAGCTTCTCAAGCCCCTTCTCCCTCCTCCTCCCTCTCATCCCCTG